CTTGAGTAATCTGGGATTTTACCTTCTGAGATTTGTTTGTTTCTCGACGGCGCTGAAGTACGACCTTGTCCCTACATCTATGGTGATATTGTAGATACGATCTCTTTGTGTAGAGACACATATTTCCAATACGTTAATTTTTGTCAAAGGTTTTCTGTGTTTAATACTTACTTTCAAATATTCAAATACTAAAACCTACTCATGATCAAAACATACTTCGTATGATTTCAATTTTTAAAGTTTGACAGCACTGTAGTCTGCCTCAGCGAGGGCTCCACGTGTGCTGTGGCTGGGTGTGGCGCTCCTGGCTGGTGGTGTCACGGGGTCCTGAGTGTTCTTGCTGACCGACGGTCGCTCTCCCTCCTCTGCCCGCGGGGACAGGGGTGTGGGCCCTGCAGCACCTCCTTCAGCAAGCGCGAGGGAAGTGGCTGGCAGTGCATGCAGGGCGGGGACCGACAACAGCACAGGCCGGCCCTGGGAGGCATCCCTCTCCCCCAGGGTCCACGGCACACGGTGGGGGGCGGGCTCCGCGATCGTGAGGCTCGCCTGTGTTTGGTTCAGTGACAGCAAGCACAGAGCGTAGAAGGTTAGGGCTGACGGTCATCATGACATGCAGGTGACGCCACACGGGGTGTGAAGTCTGCAGTCTTGGAGCGTCCTGCTTTTCGTTGGGGTTTTGGGGTTTCTCGGTAGCCTCTTACAGCAACTAGTTATCCAGAAATTGGCTTACATCTGTCCTGAGAATTTGTAATCTTAAGCAGAAATTGAAAACGCATTAGAAGACTATTCCAGTGCAAACAAATCCCCTTTGTGAAAGTCGGGCGTGTAGTTTGTATTCAATTCTTAGTGAATCCTTCGGGGGTGTTCCAGGAGACTATTCACGAAATGACATTTTGGTAGTGAAGCTAAGGCAAACTCACCTGAAGGAGGCATGAAACGATGATGAGACCCGTTGCGGCGCCTCCTGAGAGAACCTGCCGGAGAAAGCGTCTTGAACGTGGACTCAGTCACACAGGGTGGACCTCGGGCCAGTCCTGCTGTGGAGCCAAGGCTGCGTCCGGGTTGTGCGGTTCCGCTAGAATTGTTCGAGACTGGATGGGAACGTGGCCCGGGGCTGGGAGGCCGGACGCGCGTGTGCCTCGTGGACTTTAATGAAGAGCGGAATTTGCAGCAGCCAGACAGACATGCTTTATTAAAGGGCTTTAAAGTTCAATTGAAGGAACAAATTTGAGAAAACGCTTAACAGATTTTTCATACATTTGGGGTTTAGGAAGGTACAAGACAGTGAATGAACTACACGTGAGCTTTGGGTAACAGATCTGGGTAGACCCAAAGAAAATTATTTAAAGACGCAACGTTTAAGAAGGTCCGGCAGCATTTGTGATGCAAACGACCGGTGCAGAGACCCTGGGGCGAACGGAGGTGCGTGTGCTGGGGGTGTGAGCAGACAGGCTTCTGGAGGAGTCCGCGAGCATTCCATTCGGCCTCCTCCATTCTGCAGCATCACAGCTGCCGCTGCTCAAAGCAGGTCCCTGGGACAGTCGCACGGGGCTGGAACACGGCTCCCATGTCACAGTGTCCATGCAGAGGGTACAAACCTCTCAGAGGCACGCCGCCCGGGCCTCACGACCTGCAGAGAGGAGAGCGCTCCGGGGCCGGGCCGGGCCGCGGGGCCGCGTGTACTTCCTGCTGCATCAGGAGTGCCGAATCGTGGCCGAGGACGTTCCCGAAAATCACGTTTGTCTTGTGCGTTGGCTCGTGCGAGGCTGCAGGCTTCAGAGGTGACGGAAGGTAGGGAGGTCTCTCCGCTTCAGTGTCAAGTGTCTCCTGTAGGTTATTTGCTCCCGAAGCAGACATGCAGGGCGTGTTCGGGGCAGAGGCTGAGCCCGGGCTCTGGAGCCTGACGTCTGCCCGTGGTCAAGGCGGAGCTTCTCTGGGCGCCCGGTCCCCAACGTGCAGCATCTGGGGGCCTTCACCCCGGCGTCCAGACCCATCGGAGCCCCAGAGACGCCCGGGGCCGGTGGACGGAGCTGGTCTCCCAGGTACTGGGCCCCTGGCATCACCAGCAGCCCCCAAAGCCGCAAACCCGGTGCGGATCCTTAGCCTTTCACAACAGCAAGGCCCCCGGGACAGAGAAGCGTGGGCCCTCGGGGACGTCCCGTGGGAGGGGGAGGCCTGAGCAAGGCGCCTCGTGTCCTGCCCGGCCAGCAGTGTCTGCCGGACCCAGTCACCTGCCAACACGCTCCCGGACCGCGGACCACGGCGCACTGGCTTACACTGGGGCCTCTGGGCCCTTCAGGCTTCCTGGTGGAGGCAGCCCACGGGGAGAACTTGCCACAAACTCGTCACTACTCAGCTGCAGGTCTTGAGGAGACTTCAGGCCACCTATGGCCACCAGGTCGCTCATGCTGGGCTGGTATCTATCTGCCTCGTCCCCGTCCCTAAATACCTCGCTGTAGCTGAAACAGCGGAGGACACGTCTCTCTCCGTTTGCACCTCGCCCACTGGCCGTGTGGCCCGCCCAGTCAGGGTGCAGTCACCTGACACCCGCACACGGCATCAACGCGCGCCTGACTGCGGCTGTCACAGGTGCACGTACAGCGTTTCCCGGGGAAGTCTGATGGCCATTCATGTGGCCTTCTAAAGGCCCGGGGACGTCCTGTGCAGACACAGGTGGAGCTTTCTGGCCTGGCACAGGGACGCGGGTCTGTGTCAGGGGCCGCGGACGTAGAGAGAAGCAGCGGTTACACGGAGCACCGTGTGCAAGTCCACGGGGGAGCGACAGCTGAGAGCCACATCCACACTTCCTGCCGGTCACTCGGTGTCCGTGGCCCCTTGTGTGCCGTGACCGACGGAAGCATACCTCTTCTTAGAGCACGCGTGGCTAAAGACAGAGAAATGCACAAATGTTCGTCCTATTACCGGGAAAGTAACAGGTCCCAGGTTAATCGCAGTGAAACTCATCGCGTCTTGAGATCACACAACCACTTATTTCAGAGATCCAAACGCAGTGTCGAGAAGCTGCTGACCCAGAAACGTGGCCGTGGGTCAGAACGGCATCTTCCCCCGCCCCCATCAGAGGCCTTGGGCGAGGGCGCCACACTGAGGACCCAGTGAGGCTCGAAAACACCCGCTGGACCAGCGCGACGTGGCCCTTTGGTCCTCTGTTTGCAGAGTGGGAATGTGTCCACTCACACTCCTTACCCTTAAATACTGTACGTTAGGATTGCACTCGAGGATGAAGTGATTTTTATCTTTCAGTCAGCGGGTCATTTAAAACAGCGAAACAGGTGCCTGGAGGGCTCAGTCGGTTAAGCGTCTGACTCTTGGTTTCGGCTCAGGGCATGATCTCGTGGTTTGTGGGTTTGGGCCCCATGTTGGGCTCTGTGCCGACAGCGTGGAGCCTGCTTGGGATTCTCTCTTTCCCCCCCTCCCTCTCTGCTCCTCCCCCACTCACGCTGTCTCCAAAATCAACGACGCAACCGCACGAAACGGTTGAGGATCCGCTGACAGCCTCCTTCCCGAGTTCTGATGGGAGGTGGCAGTTCCTGTGGAGCCCCGTCCATGCCCAAGCATCATCTGTTGGCCACGTCCACGTCTCCCGAGCCAACAGCGTGACTTACGTCCCTTCCCTGGTGCCCGGTCCACCCACTGTTACGTACAGACGAACGTGAAATCGGGCAACGGGCACGAGCCTCACTGCGTGAAGAAAGAGACACCCTGCGGGTGGGAGACGAGCCCCCGGGGAGAGGTCTCCTGAGCCAGCCTGGCCTCGTTTCCCTGGAGTCAGGGGTCTGACCACGAGGAGGCCCAGGAAGAAGCCCCCATCGGCGAGGCTGGTTCCGGCCCACGGGCAGCTCACCCGTCCGTCCTCGGGGAAGCGAGAGCCGTCAGGTGATTCGGACCATCGGTCTCGCTGCCACACAGGCGGTTCCGGTTCCGGTGCCCGTGGTGGCAGCGCCCCAGGGTGGATGTCGAGCGCCATCCGGCTCCGGCCGTGGGCGAGGCCTCAGCCGGCTCAGCGGGTCCCTGGCGCAGAGCGAGAACACACGGGGCTCACAGGCCCCTCCTGGCCCTGAGCACCTGCGGCCTGGCATCTCTGGCGTCTCTGGCTCGTGCCGGGGGTGCCGTGTGCAGCACGTACAGAGGCGTAAGCTGGTTCTGCGCGGAGAACGCTGGTTTTTGTCTCTAAGGGGTATGGACGCGTTTAGCTGGAGATTCCCAGCTTGAGTGCTTCCTACCCCTGCCACACGCCCCCCGCAGGCAGCCACGCAGCCCGGCCTGTGCTCCGCTTACCCTGCTGATTGCTTCAGGACAAAGGACTAGGGCCCGACCCTGGTTTGTAAGGTTGTTTTAATTTCGGCAAATGAACTGTGGAAACAAACCCTTGGCACAGCAGCGGGTCAGCGCTTCTGAAGCAACGGAATGTCGTGGCGCGCTGCCGGGCTTACCCCGCTCCCGCGTGGTGACTGACGGGAAAGCGCGTGTGGTCTGGTCCACGCTGATGCCACGGGGATGCAGGCACGCCACGCTGGGACGGCGCCAGGAGACGTCACACGCCAGCCAGCCCCCGAGCCAGGTGCCAGTGCGGGACGCAGAGCAACCTGTGTGATGCGGGATGGCGGGCACCGTGGGGACCCAAGTGGCTCGAGGCTAAACCCCCGAGGCCGCCCTGCCAGCTCTGGACCGCGGGAACGGTCCTACTAAGCCCTGCTTGCAGAGAGCACCATGCACAGAGGCCACTGAGCCTCCCCCAGACCCTCACCCTGGGCCCAGAGCCAGGCCTGCTGCAGGGACCGTCCTGGGGCCGGGCACGAGGCGGCAGCGGGAAGGGGGACAAGCGCCCTCTCGGCCGGTTGCTTCCTTGGAAATCTGAGAAATCTGTCTTCTGTTCACCTACGCGGCAGGCGGCGCTCAGGATTTTCTAGAAAGGAGGTGGCTAAGCCCAGCAGGTGGCACGGGGTGGGAAGGGGCTGCTCTGCAGCGTCCTCTGAGCGCGTCTAGGCCGCCTTCTGTCTTCGCTCTTCCTGTGGAGGGGAGAGGTAGAGACTCGCACGGTGCCGGCCCCCCGCCCCCGTCCGCGGCCCCGCCCTGGCGCCCCAACCCTGAGACGCAGCACCTCCGGATGCTTGCTCAGGAAGTGCGGTTCTGGCCCCGGCCCCCCTTCCCGCCCTCCCACCGTCTCCCCCGCTCTCGCACACGTTGTCAGATGCGTGTCACAAGAACGCCACGGCCCCTCACCTTGATGGCCTGCTCCAGCTGGGACAAGGCCTCCTCGTAGCGAGGGACCAGCGGCCTCAGGAGCTCGCCGGGGATGTCGTGCCGCGCCAGCTCCGGTGCCCCCGCCTCGGCCAGCATCCGGAGGAACCTCCTCTCCTGCAGGCCAACGACGGGAAGGGGTCTCAGCCTCCCCTCGGCCATCGGCTGAGCCCCCCCCCGTCCCCCCGGCAAGCGCCCCGCAAACTCACCTGCACTTTGAGCAGCAGCGTGAAGGCCTGTCCGGTTCTTCCCGCGCGGGCGGTTCTCCCGACCCTAAAACCGAGCACGACCACCTCGAGTGCTGGCCCCCAGGGGTGCCCCGGACGGTGGCTTCTCTCTGGGGCCCTTCCCTCCAAGGCCACGGGACAGGCCTCACCGGTGCACGTAGGTCCGCAGGTACTGGGGGGCGTCGTAGTTGACGACCAGCTGCACACCCTGCACGTCAATGCCTCGAGCCGTGGCGTCTGTGCTGATGAGGCTGTGAAGTGCGAGGGGCTCAGACCCCGCCCAAGGCCGGGAGCCCCTCTCCCTCCGGCCCTGCGGGGGACACCGCCACCGGCTCCAGAGGGGAGCTTCCTTTGGGGAAGTACGCCCCGGACGGCCCAGGCCGGTACCTGCCGTGAGCGTTCGCTCCCCTCCTTCCGGGTACTCACAGCCGGATCTTGCCCTGCTCAAACTGCTTCAAGACCACCTTTCTCTGGCCAGGCCCGCAGCGGGAGGAGAACTCGGCCGCCGTCACACCTCCGAAAGCCTGGACTAGCAGGAAGAGCCTGGGCGGGAGAGGCGGGAGGGAGCCAGGTGGGCAGGGCCCGGAACCCGCCTCCCCTCTGCTCCCCTCTGCCCCCTCCACCCCCTCAGACCTCACCTGTGTGAGTTCTCGCGGGAGTTGGTAAAGCAGAGGACCCTGGAAAAGTTCATCTCCAGGATCAGGTGCAGGATGACCAGTGGCTTCGTGCGGAGGCTACAGGGGACGTAGCAGTGCTGCGGGGACAGCACGGGGTTGGCCCCGCCCCAAGCACCGTCGTGCGCCCCCTCCCCGCCCCGTGCGCCCTGCTCACCGAGAGCCCTGCGGGGAAGGTGTACTTCCCGCCCGAGTCCCCGTCCGCGTCTTTGGGGCCCCCGCGTGCCAGCGCCGTGGAGAAGAGCCGGGGCTGGTGGAGGCCCAGCTGCTGCAGCTTCTCAGGGTTCTGTGTCAGGGTGGCCGAGAAGAGCAGCTTCTGCAGCGGCATCTGAGGGCAGCAGGTGCTGGAAGTGGAGCGGGCGGTGGGCCGGCGACCTTGGCCCGGCCGGCACACCTGCTGAACCTGGCCGCCCGGGACACGCCAAGGCAGAGCGGGTCTGGGAGACCGAGGGGAACTGCGACGGGACCCACGCTCAGGGTGGCCCCACCAAGCTCAGGGCAGAGTTCGCTGCGTGTACCTGGCGGCAGTGGTGGCCCGGAGCTGCCTCCTCTGGAGCAGAGCACAGGGGTCCTTGGCGCTATCGCTCGGGAAGGCCGCCTCCACCACCCGGGGCAGCCAGGACTGGTGCATGCTGTCGATCATCCGGTCGGCCTCGTCGATGACCTAGGAGAAGCAGGACACCTGGAGTCTGGTGGCCGAGGTCGGTGTCGGCTCCGAGCCCGGGCCTCCCTCCAGGCGCCCGACGTACCAGGAAGCGGAGATGCCGGAGGCTGAACCCCGGGGTCTGGTCGATGTGGTCCACCAGGCGGCCAGGGGTGGCCACCACCACGTCAGCCAAGCAGCGGAAGTCGTCTGCTCTGTGGAGCGGAGAGCGGCTCAGCAGAAGCCCCCACGCCGACCCCCAACACAGGGGAGACCCGCAGACAGCCAGGCCCTCTGTTCTCGCGGGGGCCGGACGGCTACGATGCGGCTGCTCCCTGCTCCCCGAGGGGCCCACGACCCATCAAGACCTACGTCCTCTGAACGAGAGTCTCCTGCTCCTTGACCAGCGATTTCTGCCCAGTGATCAGGGCGACACGGAGAGGAGTGGCGTCCGTGTAGACGTTGAACACTTTGCTCACCTGGGGAAGGAGCGGCCGTCACCGACCTGATACGGAGCGCCACAGTGACAAGGACCCCGAGTCTGACTTCAGAGCGTGGGGTGCACATACCTGCTGAGCCAGCTCCTTGGTGGGCAGCACGACCAAGGCTCGGACCTGGCACACGGCACGACACAGCAGGGCCTGTGGGGTGGGGTGGGGACAGCCACCGGCCTCAGCAGAGCCGGTTCCCTGTCGGCCGAGCCCCCCTCCGAGGACGGCGGTCCTCACGCTCACCTGTACCACGGGGATGACGAAGGCCAGGGTCTTCCCGCTGCCCGTTGGGGCAGACACGCAAAGGTCGCTGGGCCGGTAGCCGCCCCTGGCCACCAGAAAGCCGTTAGCTGTGCTCTCCAGGAGAGCGGGAATCACCGCGGCCTGGACTGGACAAGGAGGGACGACAGGCACGTCTGTGCCGGAACCACCAGAATCGGCAAGGCACCGGAGCCCAAAGGAGACTTGTCCCCCATCTATGACTTCCAGGCTGGGCTGTTCTCACTCGAGGACGACACCAGAGCCTCTAGGGACTGCCAGGCCCGGGCGGCCGAAGATGCCCCAATCCCAGACCACGCTTGATGCTGGCCCTGCCCAGGGCCCGTGTTGTCAGCTGCTGTGCCACGGCCTTGCCGCTACGGCTCTGGTGACTCTGGGCGAGGAGGCTCTTGAAGGCACCTCCCCCTCCCCCCACCCCGAGCACCTGGAAAGTAGGAGAAGATGCCATGTGCCCGCAGCTTCTTCTGCATGTCAGGATGGACGGCAGGGATGTCCTCGATAGGCACCGAATCTTCGGTGACGCTCTTTCCGACACAGCTTGGCTCAGCCAACCACGAGGGCAGGAAAGGCTGGACCTACCGTAAAGAGAAAGGGGCCAAATGAAGACTCCAGAGCCCGCGGGGTTAGGGGAACAAGACCAGCGGAAACTAAGGACTCGCGACACTCAAACCGAAGAGGCCACGGCAAGGCAGGCCCCACGAGCCTTCTAACGCGTCTCCCGGCGTCTCCCCACCCCCACGCCACCTCTAAAGGAATTAAGCAACGCGCACCAGAAAGTACCTCTCCCCTGAGCAAGGTCACCGGGGGAGCTTCCTCTCACACCCGCGGTAACGTCCACACCCTGAGCCTGGCCTGCAAAGCCCTCCGTGACCCACACTCACCTGCCCCCAGCCTCCTGTTGCTGCCTGAGCCTTAGCCATACAAACCTCGTTTTACGTGCCACAGCTCACTGCTGCCTCAGGGCCTTTGCCCTGCTTTCTCCAGTCCACCTTACCCAGGCTGCCCCCTGTCTTCTGATCACAAGTCAAGGTGCACCTCCACACTGGCACTGACACAAATGCTCCCCCGCGCACCCTGGCAAACCTACCGTTTTCTTCTTGGTAATCACCACCACCCAAGAGCTCTGTAACTTACTAGCTGCTTCTCGAAAGCTTGCACTAAGATAGCTACTCCTTAGATACGCCCACCAGCTAAGAGAATATGTTTTAAAACGCTACTGTGATGCAACCCAGAAACCCATTTAAAACGTTTACCTGCAAGTTTCGCTCTCAGTTTTATTATAATCACAAACAAAACTCTAAGCTGACATAGAATTCCAGGCACCAAGAAGAAAACTGCAGGACAGACGACTGAAGTCCAAGCCGTTCGCTTGCTGAACAGGTGCGACCCTCGGAGCTACCCCACCAACACGGGCTGGATCCGCGACAGCCGCCCGACCCCGACTCCCGGCCGAAGCAAAGCCGTGGAAGACTTTCCTTCCCACCCCGGGCCGCTCACCTTTGGCGCCCTGCTTCTCTCAAAGCCCCCGAGCAGAAGGGCGTGGGCGGGAGGTCCCGAAGCCTCTTCGGGGGGCCGTTCTCCCGAGTCCCCCGGCGGCCCCGCGGCCTGGGCGCTCGCGCTGCTCTCCCCGGGCTCCTCCTCGCCGCTCCCTGCGCGGCAGAAGCGGACAGGGGCGGCGCGTCAGCCCCCCCACCCCCGCGGACCCGGGACCCCCGTCCCCGCCCGGCCCGGCCCCACCTGCGTCCGCGTTCTCGCCGTCCACTTTCCGCCGCTTCCCCCGCGGCGCCTGCGGGCTCCCCGGCGACCCGCCGCCACGCCTCGCTCTGCGCGTACCGCCACCCTCCTCCGCCGCCCCGAGTTCTGCGCGGCCCCCGCGGGCTCCTGCTGCTGCTTCCGCCGCTGCCGCTCTCGGGCCCGGCACTGCAGCCGCTCCAGCAGCGCGCGCGCCCGGCCAAATCGTCTCCCGGGCTCCGGCCCGGCCGCCTCGAGACCCGCGTACCGCTTTTGCGGTGACGTGGAAAAAACGCCATGCCGACCGACCGCGCCTCTCGGCCAGACGCGCGGCGATGACGCCAGAAGGCGCGGGGCGGGAGACGTCGTGCGAAGGCCTCGGCGCGGGCGGTGACGTCGAGCGCGCCGGACGGCGAGTCCGTGCGTTCGCGTGGGGCGGCGGCGGCAACGGCGTGGGCGGGACCAGCCCCAGCCCCGGGGGGGCGCGCGCCGGGCGCTGGGCCGCCTGCTGGAGAGCGGTGCTGGCAGATCGCCGCAAGGAGGCCAACGCCGTGTTCGACATCCTGGCCGTGCTGCAGGTGGGGGCGCGCGGGGCGCCGGGGGCCGGTCCCCGGGTCGGAGGCCTGGCAGGGGGCGCGCACGCGCGGGCCGACGGCAGGATTCCCGGGCGTCTGCTCCCGTCTCGCGGGGCTCCCAGGTCGGGGGGAGGTGTCCGGGCGGGAGGGTAGCGTCGCGGCCCTGAGTGAGGAGGAGGGCAAAGCCCCTGCGACCTCCGTGTCCTGCAGTCCGGAGGGCGGAGGAGATTGAGGAAGCGGTGCGCGCGTGCAGCCCAGCTATTCGGGGCCTGCTGGAGCAGGGGAGAGCTGTTTGTGGGCCAGCTGCCCTCTGAGGACACAGTCATGGCAGTGAGCCTCTCGCAACACCTGCCGCCTCCCAGGTCAGAGACCTCGTCTCCTGGAAAAGAGCTGGAGGAGACTTTGTCAGCTTGCAGGGATGACCTCACACGGCCTTACAGGTCGAGAAGAAGGGCACAGCCGGGGCTCCCCGTGGGGAGGACCAGCCTGCGCTCAGGGTTGGGGTGAGAGAAGAGTCTGTATGTGGTGTTTAGAGCAACAGGTTGAGCGTGCTGTGTGCTTTCCGGGGTTTTGTTTTGTTTATTTGTTTTTGAAAAAACATGGCGGGGAAGAGGACTGAGAGAGACAGAAGGGGGGAGAAGAGGGGAATCTTAAGCGCAAGCTCCACATTGAGTGTGCCAGAGCCAGACACAGGGTTTGAACCTGATGAATGTTGAGATCACGACCTGAGCTGAAATCAAGTTTACAGGCCTCAGTGAGCTAAAACCACAAAGCCTGTTTGTTTTAGGATCGCAGCAGCATCTGATCCTGTTTAACGTGGGCAGAAGGGGTTGCAGCGTTCCACAGCTGGTTGTGTAATGAGTCTTGGGGTGAAGTGAGGCAAGGAGGGTTTCCACCCGCGCCAGGTCTGGGAGCCCGCGGTGACCCGTTCCGGTCACTTGCGGGTGGGAGCTGCGCCAAGCGGGAGAGAAACTGCGTCCAGCCTGGTGTGTGTGGTCTGACCACCCTGCTCTTTTGCCTCAGGGTCCCAGAGCGGCTTGTGGCGGAAGTACAGGTGTGAATGAGACACCAGGTACCATAGCTGCTGTAACGCCTCGCGAAAACTTCTGGCCACCCTCCTTTGAGGTCAAAGGTGAGTCGTTGGCCTTGCCCCTACCCTACGGCGACTACCGCGCCAGGCTGCGCTTACACTCAGGCAGGGTGGCCCTCGGGAATATTCTGCATGTCCAGCAACACCTGAGGACGTCTGGTTTTTCTGTCATATAGTTGTCTAAGCGGCCGGTGTTCTGTGTCCCAGCGTGGGGGGGAGGCGTTGTCTTGGGTGCACTGAGACTTAGGTGCGGGGAGGTGTGGTCCGGGCACCTCAGCCACTCCCACCGCTTCCGCTTTCCCAGGAGCTGGCTCTCAAGCACCCGGCTCATGAAGTTAGTACAGCTGGAGGGAGCATCCCTGGAGAAAGCCCAAGTGGGAGGGGCAGCCTGTTCCCTAAGCCAGCTTTTTTCAGGTGGGGAGCCTAGCGGTCTGTGGGGAGGGGGGGGGGGGGGGCTGAAAGCCTCTGGGCACAGCAGGGGATGGGCCTTGCAGGTGGCTCGGGAGGAGCTGCTTCTGCCACACCCCACACTGCCCCTACAGGCGGGGGAGGCTGTGGGGCGTGGCGGGCACCGAATTGAGCCCACGGCTGAGCTCACCTCCCCTGCCCGGCCCGGCCACTTGATGGAGCCAGTGGAAGGCCTGCTGTGTCATCGGGGGAGAGACTTTCGCTACTGGTGTCGCCGGTTCCAGGAATTTACCTGAAACAGCACGGCGGCGATCAAAAGCTACCACGATGCACCTGGCGACCCCGCAGTGTCCTCAGGCCAGGTAAGCTGACAGGTGAGGTGAGCGGGTCCGTGTCTGAAGTGCGCGGGGGCTGGCATCGAGCTGATCTGAAGCACCCCGACTTGGGTCGCCTGCTTTCTGGAGCAAACATGGCGCTGCTGTCTGCCGTGGTACACTGCCAAGGAGATCAGCTCTCAAACTCTCAGTGGCTCGCTGGTGGCGTCGAGGGGGGGGAGCAGGGGGGGGGGCGGCGAGGGGCATAACAAGCATGCGCGCCTCTTTCCCGCCGCCCTCCCTGACCCCTCCCTACCCCAGAGCTGTCCTTTCTGAGTGGAAGGTGCTCATCTGAAGGTGAGGCAGCTCAGGCGCTGGGGACAGGGCCCTCTTCCTGGCGTGAGCAGCACACGTGTGGGACCCAGAACATTTTCGGCTCAGACAGCCTCTCACGAGGCTCCTTCACAGGGACAGGGGTAGGTGGGGAGACACCGCCCGGTACCTGGCTCCCAGGCTCTTAGCGGGCTCCTGGGTGCCGGTGTCGTGCGGCGTCGCGACCCTGAGCGTCTTCTCCCGGCTGCTCTGTGGTAAGTGCGTGTTCTGGGATAACGCAGCGTTTGTTCTGCTTTGCTGAACTTCTCCAGTTCTGGTTTCTAGTTCTTAAAGCAGAGGCGGGAGAGGCCCGTGGTGCCTTTGTCCGAGGCCGGGGAGGGGCTGGTAAGGGGCAGCCTTGTGTGTGCGGCCTTGGCGACACCCACCCCTCCCGCGCTGGGAGCACAGAAGGCCTTCCAGCTGATGTGGCTTGGCTTTCTCTCAAGCACAGGTACTGGCCCGGTTGGGGGCAGGTCCCAGATGCTGGGCTGGCTTGCATCTCTGGCCCCGATGAGATCTGCTGGGGTGAGAAGCGAGGCGCACTTCCCACACAGCTGCTACCTCCCGCCATGCCCCCTCAGCCTGTACAGAAGGTGCTGAGTGGTCGCCATGATGCCATCCTGCCCCACTGTGGCCCCAGCCCGCCCTCATGATGCGACTTCACTTACCAGCCTATGGCGTGGGTGAGTGCAGAGCCTCCCCCTCCCAGCCGGCTGGGCTCGGAACTGGGGCTGGAGGAGCCGTCGTCGGGAGAACCTGGTGCATGCTAGAGCCCCAAGTCCCCTTCCCCTGGGGCGGGGACAGGCAGGGGGGCCTCCTGCTCTGTTGAACTCACCCCGACGGCAGAAGTGGAGGGGGAGCAGGCCTCGGTGAGGGCTTCTCAGCCGCGCGGTCTGCAGGGGGCGCCATCAGCCTGTTGACCTTGAACAGACTTTTCATCCTGATTCACAGCACAACCTGTGAGTGTCGCGATCTGGGGCATGCCTGTGGTCCAGCGATGCGTGTCTGCCCCTCCTGTGTCTCTCTGTCTGGGCTGGTGGTCTGGGCTGCCCTAGGGGAAGTTGGGCATGACAGAATTTCAGGAAACCAATCGTGTTTTCCTCGTGTCCCCCCCGCCCCCTGGCTTGCCCTCGCCTCACCTACGCCTCCCAGCGGTACCCTGATTTCTACCGGAAACTCTCACGGTCTCCTGGACCCGTCTGTCTTCCATGTCAAATGCTCGGGCAGTTTTTCCACCTGGCCGACCTCTTCCTATGTCGTCCTCGTGAGTGCCGGGAGGACTGGAGGCGCCAGGCCTCAGAGCAGGGGGAGGCGGGGAATACAAGAGGCTGACTGGGGAGTCCTCCCCACGTTCACCATCTGCCCAACCATCTGCCCACGCCCTACCTGGTGGCGCTGCGCCATGGCGCTTGTCCCATACCAAGCTGGCCTGGCTCCCAGAGCCCTTGCTCATGGTGCTGCCCTTCATCTGCAACCTGCTCACGCGCCGTGCCACCTGCCCGGCGTGCTGGTGCACCGCCCGCTGGAGGCGAGTGACCTGGCCCGGGCGTGGGGGGGTGCTTGGGGACCTGGGAGGGGGAGTGGGGAGGGGGAGCCTGAGGCGTGGGGACCTGGGAGGGGTGGGGGACCTGGGAGAGGAGTGAGGGGAGCCTGAAGGCGTGGACCTGGGAGGAAGTGGGGGGGGGAGTCGGGGAGCCTTGCTGAGGGACCTGGGGAAAATATCAGAAAACTCCTAAACGACGTCATCAAAGGAACCCTGGAAAAGAAAATGAAAATCAGAGAAACTTAACCAAAGACCTAGGAAAGAGAATAAAGTCTCACAAAGGGAAGAAAGTAGAGGAAGGAAGAAACAGCTCCTAGAGAAAGCGTAATAAAGAGACTCCTAGGAAAAGGAAAGATAAAGAGAAATTGACAGCAAGGACGCCTAGGAAGGAAAGGTAATCAGAGGAGGCTCTAAGAGAGAACAAGAGACCTAGGAAGGGTCAAAGGGAAGAGAAACTGAAAGAAATTAGAAACCAGATGGAAGAAGAAAATGAAAACCTAGGAGAGAATGTAAAGTTCCCTAAAGAGAAATGAAAACCCTCCCTAATGAACCTCAGAGACCTAGGAAAGTTAAATGAGACCCTAAAAATCAAAACCCTAACAAAAGGAAATGTCAAAGGCTCTGGAGGGTGGGGCTGCCCCCCGGCAATGAAACTCAGGAGAGCGAGCTGTAGTAGTGGGGCCACGGTCTTCGCTCTGAAGCTATGCCGACCCTGCAGTCCTGCAGAGGAGGACCCCATTGAAGCAGCATATGGCCCTGGAAGCTTCGCTGATGAGGGAGCTTCTGGGTGGTATGCGTGTCCCCCGTCCCCGGCTCCCCCGGGGGCTGCCGTGACCGGACGTGTTCCCACCGTGTGGTGCCGTCCGGGTCCCCGGGCTGCTGCTGCACCCTGGGGAAGGGTGTGACGGCCCATGTGCCTCCCCAGACCCTCCAGCGGCATTACCACCCCGAGGTGTCGCAGGCCGCCAGCGTCATCAACCAGGCAGCTGGCCGGTGCTGGTCCAGCATCGCACCCCTGCTGGAGCTCACGGCGTTCGAGGTGAGGGCGCGGGGCTGAGGCCTGGGCGGCTGGGGTGCAGGGGACGTGCGGCGTGGGAACACCTGTCCGTCCCTTGCAGGTGTTCGAGCGAGACCTGAAGAAAAAGAGGGGCCAGGAGTCGGTGCCCCTGGAGTTCCTCCCTGCGCAGGGGCTGCTGGGCCGGCAGGATGATCTCTGCGCCCAGCACTTCACGCTCAGCTGACCCTGAGCGCCCGCTCCCCGCCCCCACCTGTGGTGTTGTAAGAGAGAGATGGGGGTGGGCTGTGGGTGGCGGGGCGGAGTCCGGGGAGCGCTGGCCTATCTTCTGACTGCTCCGGCGGCCGGGTCTGCAGGCTGGTGGTCACAGTGCCGGCCGTGCACGGAGGGCACCTCGTGTCCACCCGCGGCCCCCCACGCCTGCCCCCCGCCTCTCCCTTCCTCTGGAAGTCTCTCCCTTAGCCGGAGCCCTGGTGGGCGTGGGGCCAGGGTGGGGGTCGGGGGCTGCGGCCACACGGGGCTCTGGGTGCACTGGGCGGTGGCTTCTGCCAGCCCTGTGTGACCCCCGGTCCCCTTACGTCCGAGCGTCTGGGCCACACCCCCTCCCTGCTGCAGTTGGACTGTGACCTGGGAGCGACAGTGAGGGTTCTCTGTCCTGGTTAGTCGTGGGCAGCACGGAGCACAAGCCACCTGTTCCCAGTCGAGCTGAGGAGGACCTACCTCCCCATGGTCCCAGGTGCGCGGTGGGCGTGTCTGCCCCACGAGGGACAGTTACGGGTGGAGCCACCTGAACCGTCTCGGCCCCGAGTGGCGTGGGTGCTGGCAGCTGCAGGCCGGTCGTTTGCTGTGTTTCCGGGTTCTTTCTTCAAGGCCCCGTTTCTGCCGGGCGAGCTTGGTTCCCCTCCGGCGTGAGTCCGGCTTCCTCTTAAAAAGCGTCTTGTTTAGGGAGAGAGTCACGTGAGTGATAGCCGCTCCCGTGGGTTTGGGGGCCTGGCGGAGATGCAGGTGTGGGTGCAGAGCCAGGGAGGGGGCGTCCCTGGTTCTGCAGCCTCTTGCCTGAGCGCCCCCCTCCCCGCCCCCACGGGAGCACCTGGAGTCACAGCCGGCAGTGGTTTGGCCGCTTGGGTCTCTAGGGAGCTGCCCCGGTGGCCCAGGACCCTTGTGTGCCTGGTGGGGACGCTGGGTGAGGGGTGAAGGGGTGCTGCTTCTACGTACACCTGTGTGGTTTTAGGGATGCTAGCGCCCGCCCCCTGGTGGTACCGTCCTGGCCCCATCTCAAGTCCGCTTCTGCCCCCGGGCCTTTGCGCTGCCTTCTCTGCAGCTTTGCTCTCTGCTCCTGCCTGCGGACCCCAAGCCGAGGGAGGCCTCAGGGAAGCGCCTCTGCCCGGCATCCTGTCTGTCGGTAACAGCTCCGGGCATGCACGTGGGGCGCCGCCTGTTCATGGCCCCGCTGCCGTCGGTGCCCCGTGGACGGTCCCTGCCACCCTTCCCAGAGACCGAGGGAAGCTCATCACGACCTGGTCCTCGTCTGGCCCCCGGGGCCCGGGACTTACCCGGCACAGAGGAGGGGCGCGTACACGTCTGTGGTAGAAGGGCCCGGGGGTCCTGAGCCGCCTGCTTCCGGCAGAGTTTGGCGCGTCCGAGGCCGTCCCGGCCCCAGCTGAGCCCCGGCACGGGGACACCGGGGGGCAGCCCTGGAAGGGCTGAGGCCTCACGCTGATTGAGAGAGATGCCATCCTGCTTTTTAAAGTAAAACTACAGGATTCTTACCAAGCAGGTTTTCTCGATTGTTGCAGCATCGTGTGCTGTCGGTAGCCTTCCTCCTTCCAGCGGGTCCGGGGCTCACCCCTGCACGTCCCGCCCGCGACACCCCCTCACCCCCGTGCGCGCCTGGGCAGCTGCGCTTTGTGGTGTTTCTCGACCTCTGGGCCCCATGGCCCCGGGGGCAGGTGGCTGAGGGGACGCAGGGCGGGGACAGATGGAGAAGACCGGCAGGGAGGCGCCCCTGGGACCTGAGCACCTGATGGCCGTCAGGGCCGGGCTTTCAGGGGCTCGAGAACCGTCTGGGATCTGAGTACAAGACCCCTGGGGCCCGGGGTCTGCGTTTGCAGGGGCTCCCAAGC